TTTGGACAGGCTTATACTACATAAATTTGTTTAGTACAAACTGATAGTTTTATTTATCTACGTGTATAATCTATTTTCTTTTACAGAGAGTTTGGAAAGTAAAATCAAACATTACGAGAAGAAACGAAAATTTGAAGTCATACATTCCAACGTAACGGAGGTTACATAGCACATGTCTATGCTAATCACAGAACTTGTGTAATGTATTACATACTAACGGTTTCAAATACACGTATGTTTTTCTTACTGTAAATATTACATATAGCGTCTTAAATTTTCACTATATGCGAGAGGGCTGTGTTCAGCCTTATTGTTCGTCAAATTTTGATAGCGATCAGGAATTCTTCAGAAACATCAAATTTTACAGGCGCGTTGCGTGAAGTAACGTCGATAGGCCTGTAATAATACACGCGAAACGAGTAAAGCTTTTACAAAGTAATTATAATTTTCATAATCTATAAAAATCAAAATAGGTCATTAAACGCGATGGATCTTTCTGTGCACAGCTTATTAGTATTTCTGACTCATAATGTCATCTAAATCTTGGAAATCTAACAGCAGTTTATGCTAAATATTCAGGTTTTTAAAACGTTTATTTACAGAGGATGCAGCTAATGAAAAAGTGCTATATATACATAATTAAAATGCGAAATTTAATTTGGGCATTTAAATGTAATTGAGATGATATAAACACTTTCCCTGCTGCCTGACTCATTTCGGTTGCGATAGCGTCGCGACAGCGAAGTCGACATTGCCATGAAATTATATGGCCGTGATGGATGATTTAAAAAGAAAATTACTAATCGGTGTGTTTTGTTTATTTCTTTTCGGTTCTATCACAGGACGGCATGCATTTAAAACGAGTGTCAAAATTGCTTTCTTCCTCCGACGAATTTTCATTATTTTTACCCTCGCCATCTTCGTCCTCTTCTTCTAATTCATCCTGCTCTAAAAGTCGTCTCGCCATTTGTACAGCGTGCCATTCCCGGTAATGGCCCTTTCTTTTCGCCTCAAAGGCTCTTCTCCTTTCTAAATAGAATACGTCAATGATGAATATTTTTGTACGTTGCGAAGATAAGACGTCTTGTTTTACCTTTTTCTTCGGGAGTCTCTTCATCCTCCTCCTCTTCACTGGATTCCTCAAAAATTTTGGGTTTGCTACCTCCAGCTAATCTGAATTTTAACAATCGAACAAATAATATCAAATATTTTACATTTTTATTAGCACGTGATTGACACATCACATCCTACATTAATCTACTCACTTTGCTGCGAGAGCACTAGCGTCTAACTGATCAAATTCATGTTCATTTTGGAGGCCTTCGAAATTATATGGGGTTTTTGGTTCTTCGATCTTCATGTGGCCATAGTCCTTGTCGGCAGGATGAAGAGTGGCGATGATATTCATCTCGTCCCATGTTGTTTCTTTGCTCGGTCTACAGTTTGATTAATATATAAGGTAAATAAAAAATATGGGTGTTGATCGTGGAGTCTAAAAATAGAATCTGTGTCAACTGACGCTGGGTAATGTCAATCACTTTACGTCTTAAGAATATTCAAGCAGTTTTATCGCAAGTTCTTATCTTTAAGTTTATTAAGTTTTCAGAAAAGTACGGATACTTTATAATCACATCCCTATAAAAAAAGAAGTTTCTCTGGAAGATTATTTTCTAAAAAGAAAAGGTAATCTCTCGCGAAGCCGAACGAATGCGGTTCGAAGGTGATGCTGAGCGAGAAGCTGTATATCGAGCGCGTGTATCCCGAAGAGGAAAGCCAGGTAATCGTTTCTCTCTCTCTCTGGCCGAATTCGTCGAGGCGTCTGTCGTCGCGGACCGCATGAACTTGCGATTTATAAATATCGGACCGTGCGTGACACGCGGAATCACGCCTTCGATGTCGACGAGAGAGAGAGAGAGGGACGGCTACGGCGGGTTTTGCGCGCCGTCTCTATTTTTACGCGATCGTATCGAAATTCAATTGTACGGCATCTCTCACCTAGGCGCCTCCGGATTGTCAAAACTGCTGGACGTCTTGAGGATACCCTTGGAAGGCCGTTTCGACAGGTTCTCTGCCATTATAGTCGGGCGTAATCACGGCGGGTCACTCGCGACGGTGATACCGCGGCTGCATGTTTACCAATGGATCTCGTTCCGGCGGAATAACCTGCCTCACCTGCCTGTGCTCTGCGCTGGGTGTCACTTGGTGTCACTCACTCCGTCACTCGCGGCGGCACATCCTCTCTTCCTCTCTCTCTCTCTCGCGCGCGCGCGCGCGCGCCCGTCGCCCCTCGGCCACGGAACTCTCGGAAGCGATCTCCGCTCTACGGCCGTAGCACGCCGTAGTTGCGTAGCGTGGAGAATGTAGACGCGGACCGACCTGACCGACCATCTGCCGTGCCCAGCTTTAGAAAGAGACAGGTAGCTTTCACGTCTTTCACGAGATTGCCTTTTCTCTCACACGTTGCGCGTGCAAGTTAGAGAGAGACAAACCACAACCTATTGGCCGCGTTCAGCAGACACAACTGTTGAGTTCGTCTTATCAACACTCTGCGTTGATTGGTTGGTTCTAAAAGTAAGAGCCAATCACGTTCGACTGCTACTCAGCGGCTCATACGCGTCATCTGTGGTCGAGATGCTGGCGCGAATCTTGCAGCGGCAAAAAATCGTGCAAGAATTTGGCAGAAGGTCAACAGTAATAATTTACCGAAATAATTACCCCGATTAAAGGCAGAGTCTACTCTTTAAATAGATGTTGGATTGTATTGTGGATTTGTGTGATGTAATATTTCGAGTATCTTGCGGGATATCATGTCGGTTATGTAGAAAGCTTATAAACGATCGCGATAATTAAAAGATTTTTATTTATAAGACATTAGAAAAGCTTATATATTTTTCGGAAACTATTATGTAACTATTTTAGTAAATATCACTTTCGAATAAAATAAAAAATTGGATGTAACAATTATATATTTTCTTAAATATTATTTTGGAATTATTTGACTTTTATATTTGTATTTTGCTAATTGATACATCATTGTAAGATAATTACGGCTTGTTGCACGTCAGTTATTAATTATTCATGTTAATTTGAGGTAATGAGTCCGCGAATATTCCAATTACATGTAATAATATATATAAATCTGCAATGTTGCCCTTGAGAGCTTTAATGAAAATTGTGATGAAAGTTTGATGGAAAAGTCACAAAAAGAGTAATACTTTTTTAATCTGTATATTATTAAGTATGAACAAATATGAACAACACTTACAACATAACATTATTATATAGAATTACATTGTTCAAAGTTCAACTAAAGTTAAGTACTGTTGACGTTACAGGTAGGCTCCAGTCCAGCCTCTCGATCGGTTCTTTGGGTGCTGTTGCTTACTACCTTACACGATTCGGAACAAGCGTTGGGTTTAGATGGAAGAACATTTCATATTTCGGGGATATGCTCTACGATTCGGGATTATAGTAGCAGTGAGGTGACTGGTGAGTGATGCCACTTTATTAACGCATGGGGTATTTTAATTTCTTGTGGTATTCGTAACTATAAAAATCTAAAAGTATCCACGGTGACGTTCACCGAGCACTTGGAGGAAGAGGGCGAACTCCCGCATAGAGAATTACCTCTTCGAACTCTTCCCATTCAGATCTTTGAGATCCTTTGGTCGTTTTTTAAGCGGCCACTTCGCTCGTCACACACTTGTCGTACATTGCATCTAGGACTTGAATGAACTTCAAGTGACGTTCTTCCGGAGCTACGGTGGCACCGCGGCTGCCCCACAAGAACTTGATGTGAAATTCGGTGCGAAAGGCGTCCGATAGCAATTCGTCGCTCCTGCAACCTTCCAGAGCGATCTCAGCATTTCTGCGGAAAAGCGGTAGACTGTCGGCTAACTTGCGAGCCGCCTCGAGATGCGACCAGACGATCGATAGGCCGCAATCGGATGCTGAATTCTCCCATGGCGAAAGAATCGCTGCCGTTAGTCCGAAAGGTGCTACGGTGCCTATAATAAATTTCGCTGAATAAGTAAAAACAACGTAGTTTTTGAGAGAAAAAAGGAAGAGAGGATTAGCAATTAACAGTATATAAAAAAGACGCTATAACGAAGATAGATATTTGTATTTAGAATAAT